AATGTCCATCGAGAGCCTTGTTGATCGAATAGAGACCAGAAGAATGGCAAGGGCAAATAGAGCAGAAGAATTTTCAGCATAACTCTCGTCTCGCTAACCAACTGAGCTCCATATTTGTCTATTGAATAGTCGAGGAGATTTTCACGGGGATTGGTACTTCTTTCCCGATACTTGGTGGAGATCGCATTCTGAAAATAAAAACTAATTTAATTCATGTAGTCTTGACATTCTAATGAAGTTCAGGGAAGTTTTTCACAATTTCATACCGCAATGCATTTAAACATGCGAATGATCATGTTTTCTTCGGCAGTTTTGACGTATGTATACGATGACTTTCCGATAATGAAAAATACTGAAATTCGAAATGAAAATGAGAGGATATTTTTTATTTTGTACAAAAGCAGTGAATACAAACAGCTACATCTAGAAAACCAATGTAGGTTTATGTTAAACTGTTTATTAAAAAAAATATATATTTTTGACCACTAGGGCACCACAAAGTTTTTTTTAAGCGAGAAAATTTAGAAATATTTTAAGTACCAGAAATCACCACAAACTTTTTAAATTCTTGTTGTGAAATAAATGTCAACACAAATAGTTTAGCATAACCCTACATCTGTTTTCTTGGAGTAACATAAAATCTGTTCCTCGCCAGTATCTCCTAATAATTAGCTGCAGCCATTTTGAATTTGTGACTCATTTTGCAAGAAAAAATCGTAGCCTCTTTGAATTTGGGATAGATTTTCTATGGAAAGCATTAAAATACTTGCCAAAAATACAAAGAGGGTAGGTCACAAATTCAAAATAGCTGCAGCTAATTAGGCAGAGCATGTTGTGAGCTGATGTCAGCAGTACTAACTAACGTCATCTGCTAATATCAGCAGCTGACGTTAGTTAGTGCTGCTGACATCAGCTCATAACATGCTCTGTACTTGGGAGATAACGCTCAAGAACAGATATTATGTTGGCAGTTTGTATTCACTGTAGAAAAGAAACTAACCCAAAGATGTAATCATCAAAATAGCCGGCACTCCGAAGGCAAGTGGGAAACAATCATTGTCACCGAAACAATGTGCATCTGCTCGTAAAATTGGTGTGAGTGTTGTACTTATAAGTGAACCGGCGTTGATTGTAAAGTAAAACAATGAGAAGAATGTGGCAATTTGGGCTGCTTGCTCCGGCATTTTGAATTGATCACCTCCGAAGGATGAGACGCATGGTTTAATCCCACCACTGCCAAGTGCAATCAAAATCAACCCAATGTACAGTGCAATTTCGGGTGAAAAATCGATGACTGGAATCGATCCAACTGACACAATAACACTTCCGATCGAGTAAACAATTGATAAATACAAAATAGTGTTAAACTTTCCCAGCCAGACGTCAGACAAGATGCCCCCAAAAATGCACATAAAATACACCATCATCGTAAATATATGATACAATACAGTGGCATCATTTTCAGAATAACCCAATTTGTTTTTGATGTAAAGCGCCAAAATTGCTATCGGAATACACATAATATTAATGATGATGTTGTCTGGAAAATTAGGTGAAAAAATATGATTAATATTTACTTTTCATTCCATAGAAATTGAATCGTTCACAAAATTCATTGCCGATGATGAAAAATACACGTTTGGGATATGGTAATTTTGGTGGTGCAGCATTTTCAACGTTTGATAACGTTTTTGAGTTATTTTTTCCATTTAAACCTGAAAAACCAAAGGAGTCATACATCAATATTAATGACTAAACTAACAACGATTGGTTAAAAATATTTCAACTAAAAATATAACAGTGCACTTGTGTCATTAATGTCGCATTTTATGATTCGAACATCGAAGCAATGATTTACAGCAGTGCAAACATCAATTTAAACTTCAAATGAGAATCACGATTCAGGTGGCATTGTTTGTTTTCGCTGCCCGTTTGAATTCAAACTTTGAATTTCACTCAACAATACACAGATACTTTTATTCGCAATACACAAGAGCAATCTGGTTTGGTCTATCTTACGCATTACCGGAAAACGCAATTGTCGAAAAATAAATGTCAAGGAAATTGCCAATTATTTATTTGTCTGATAATATTTTTGTCCCAAATTTCCATTGCAGTATGAAAAAAATAGCAATCAATCAGAGATTTGGTTGGAACAAACGGAATCGCAAAATGTTATCAAATAATAAAAAACGATTTTTATTATTGCTATAAAACAATTGCACGTTTGTTATCGTCTCAATGGTTGAGAAATTGAATCATAAACAAGTCTTTTAACCTTTATTGTGCCAAGCAAGAAAGAGAACACGTTTTGTAGAGGAAGAAATCACTGAATCCATTCAGAGTCACAGTTGATATTGAAAAAGAATGAACAATAGGGTGGATCGATTTTTGAAATCGTACAAATTCAAAAATGGACACTGCGCGATCGATTTGGCACCTCGAAAGAAGAAACTTTTGTTCTGGGACATATCCAGAAAAGTTGATTCCCTCAGTGCCCACTCAATTTTTATCTGGAGCATTTTTTGATGATTTCTTCAGACTATTTGTTGAAATATCTCAAAAAATACCCACTTTTCATGCATTCAAACTATCATATTTGGATTTATCGCGAAAAATTACATAAAAATAAGTCAATTTGAAACCATTCCAACGCGATTTTGTCACCTTCGTAGGTCAAAATTCGACCAAGTATCCATTTTTTGGCTACTTTTCCGCAAAAACTCACCTCTGGACCCTCGAAAAACCTCAAATGCATGGCCAAAATTGACTTTATTTAGAAGAAGAAAAGTGGGTATCTTTCGAGATATTTCAACAAATAGTCTGGAAAACTCATAAAAAATGCTCCAGATAAAAATTGAGTGGGCAGTGGGCACTGAGGGAATCGACTTTTCTGGATATGTCCCAGAACAAAAGTTTCTTCTTTTGAGGTGCCTAAATGAACGCGCAGTGTCCATTTTTGAATCTGTACGATTTTAAAAATCGATCCACCCTAATGAACAATCACTTAAAGATTGATATCGTCTTCTCAAAATAGGTTGTACTTGTTGAAATTTTGCTCTTCGCTAATCTAATTCATTGCTTTTTTCAAATCATTTAAAAACAATTGATTCGAAGTTATTCGATGTGTATCGTAGATTACTTACCTTTGGCCGCTTGTTCATCAAAATTTCCCATTTTTATTCGTTACGATAATGAATATTGCAATTAATCTTTTTGTCGATTCACTGAATTTAAGTACTGTAATTATCAGTTTATATCATTGCAAATTGCAGTGTGCAACGCTTTTATTTCTTCTGTGGTATGAAACCTCAACACAGAAAGTCGATATACAATGCGAGCGTTTGAAGAAATCAGCTCTACTTTATCAGTTTCGAGTTGTTCGAAAGTTGAAATGAAGCCACTTAAGTGAATGAAAATGTCTGGAGGAACACTATTACACTTCAGACTTCACTCTCAAGAGCGCACTTGATTCTGATTTCTTCACCGTTCAAAACGCAACTAACGATTTCAAGATGCAAATTATTCGATTTAAGCGATTGCACGATTTCATCAACACCATAACGATTCTGGCGATTACAATAGGTTTTTTTTAATGTTATCTTAATGGCCATTTCTCACTCTCTCTCTCCATGTGTCGCTTACGTCGTCGTGAACGAATACTGTTATATCTATTATGAGCGAACGCCGCAGACGCAAAACAAATAAAAATGCACACTCGGAAAACAGTTGCTACTTAGTATTAGTGATGCTTTCCCCTAAATCTATACCATACTTTTTTTACCGCTACAAAGAATTTTTTTCCTGGAAAAGCTTTGGATGTGTTGGCACGAAATTTGATAGTGACAGATTTTTATTTTCGGAAATTTGACAGTGGCAGAATTTTTTTGACCAAAAATAATCTGTCACTGTGAAATTTTATGTTAGTAAGAAAAGTTTTTTTTTTTTCAACGAAAAAAATCACTAGATTAAAGAAAAAGAAGCTCTATTAATTTTTACAAAAATTGAAAAAGTGTCGATGAATAATCAAATGTCACCATACTTTGTGTTAAAATTCAAAATAATTAGATGCATAAACGTTATCGGACTCATTAAATCGTTACAATCTCGTACTAATTGGTACGTTACTTGAATGAAGCAAAAACGAACGCACTTTAGTACACTACCACTATTGCATTATGAATCACGAATAGGAATGAGTGGCAATTTGGTTAATTATCCTAATTTTCTGTTGATGTTGTTTAAAGTTTGAATAAGTAAATAGTATTTGAAGTGATTAGTCCATCGACGCAGCTCACAGTGAACACGCGTAATTGTGAAGCCATAAATCACAAGATACCACAACGTTAAGAAAGTTGAAAAAATGAATGAAAAGTGTATTGTTTGTTTCGAAAAGATCACCGAACAAATGGTTGATGTGGTTGCAACGAAATGTCGTCATTGGCTGCACGTCGATTGTTTGTCGAAATGGATTGATATCCATGGAAGAAGTACATGTCCATTGTGCCGGTTCAATATAAAATACGCTTCCACCAGCAAGAGTTATGCGATTGGGGACGATGTCCTGAGAAAACTCCAAGTATTGAGGTATAAATATGAGCTGCTCATAAAATTGATCAGAAGAAATAAAACCGAATCAGCCCAATAGTTTTGATATAGTGAGAATATAGTCTACATATAGCTACGGCCAAGCAAGTCGCTTATATTCCCCCTTATTGCGAACCTCCAAGCAATTTTTTTGAAAAAAATTTGCTCGAATTATAAATTTCCATTTCAATTATTTGGAATGTGTTGTGAAAGAAAAATGGCAAAATATTGTACAGCATTACTTGCGACTTTTTCGATTACGAAGTAGAGCATTTTGAAAAATCGATAACGAAATTTTATCGGTACTTTTCGAAAAACAATATCTTATCACTTAATAGTAAAATGCAGTCTTTTTAAATAAAATTATCAAGCATAGACAATAAGGTCATATCGTGTGTTTATGATGTTCTGATCAATAAAACAAATGAAAAATAAAATAAAACCAGAAGTTTAATTATACTTAAGTTGATTTATTGGTTTACACGTCGATTACTTAGACTACAAAGCACATTCACATTTAATGTCGTCCCAACAAAGTAGGCACAAATACGTATGCAATATATATAACTCAAATGAGTGTCAAAAATAAACCCAGCTAAAATACAGTCGTGAAATCTAGTTTTAAATGTCTTCATTAATTGAAACAGTTTCCATTTGTCTATCGTTAAAAACAAAATTTGTACATAGTAAAACGTTTGACGTCATTAATATCGAAAGGAAAAAAAATATATATTGTGAAATTAAAGGTAATACGGTTGTATGCTGGCTGGTATGGTTATGTTGGTGTTTCCGATGTGTATGCTGAATTGCAATAGGAATGTGTTGTGTCTGCATCTAACATTAAAACGCGTTCAAATGCCTGGGAATTCAGAAAGAAATGAAGGGAAAACCAAAATTAGCGCATGTTATCTTCAAGTGGCTGAAGCCAGACAGAATCAAGACATTGTATCGCACTCACTTGATCCAGTAAACATTCTGTGATTGTGTAAGTAATTCCTCGACCCACAGTTAAATTATACAACTTATTAAATAAATCACTTAAGACCATTCCATCGTCGATCACAGCCTCCGAAACTTGTGTTTCATTATTGTTATTATTTACAGTGCCATTTGCGTAGCTGCTACTTTGGCTACGTGGATTACGGATCTTTATTCTAAATTGCAAACAGTGACTATGCACTATCAAACTCTCGATATTTGATATCGCCTTTTTGATATCCTGAAAATAAGAGCAAAATATTTTTGGGATAAGTAACTTGAATTAGTTTTCAAAAGATACAAAGCTTGGAGCATCAATAGGATTTAAAATACAAAAATATCCAAATTTAAACAAATCAAAGATTCGCATTACCCGCTCAATAGTCAAGGCTTCAATTTGGTCGTAGTAGACAGTGATGACATATCGATTGCCATACATCATCTTCAGTTGCTGCGGTGGTGCGGTGACAATCATTTTGCCTTGACGCATAATACCGATCCGATCACAGACTCGATCGATTTCTGTGATTGTGTGCGACGTTAGGATAACCGAACGATTTTCAAGCAAAATTCGATTGATTGACGCATAAACAATTGCCCGTGTAACCGGATCCATGTCGCTGGTCGGTTCATCCATCAGCACGTTTGTCGATGATCCAAAACAGGTGACTGCTACACTGAGCTTTCGACGATTTCCGCCACTAAGATTTTTGACCAACACATTGCGATATGGAACCAAATGGAAGAACTTCAATGTGTGTTCGGATACCTAAAGAAGATTGAAGAGCAAAAACATTTCATTAGCATCAATCAAAGGAAATGTAATTTGGATTCTGTAACAGGTTAAGTGGTTTTATACCTCTTCAATATTTCTGATTCGTCTCAATTGTCCATAAAAATCAATGATTTCTTCAACAGTTAGCAAGCTATCGAGTGCATTTGACTGTGGACAATACGATATTCCATCATCACGATTCAAAATGCTAACCGTTCCCGAAGTTGGTTGTAATTCACCTGATAACATCGAAAATATCGTCGACTTGCCCGCACCATTGCTTCCCAATAGACCGAAACACTGTAGAAACAATATAATTATAACTCTTCTGAAAAATATCCTCAATGAATAAAATCTTTCTTTACCTCTCCTGTTTTAACGCTGAATGTAACATCTTTCACTGCTTCATGGTTTCCATCGTAGGTTTTGCAAAGAGAATCTGCCTTCAATGCAATTTCGGTAGGACTTTCAGCTTCGCTGAAGAATGCATGCTTGGTATCACCATTGGGAACGGTTCCATTTGATGTGACAATTGATTCCAAATTGGTGCTGTGGAAAAAATACTCTCTTTATTGTCCGTTCAAAAGTAAAAACTCTAGTTTTAATCTATACTTACTCGTTTCTCTTATTTTTTGACGACTTCAGATAGGATCTCCACATGCCACTTTCGATGATGTAGTTTGTCACCCAGAATACAATGCCAAGGATGATCAGGGCGAAGTAATGTGGCAAAATTAAAGTGGTACTGATTGGCGATTTGTAGGTGTCGATGTAGTAGCGCGTAAAAACTTCCGAAATGACGTGATTTTTGCAAATCTCCATCAAACCATCGGCCAGAGCATGTTGTGGCAGAATCAAAAAGGCTCGATTCAAAAATTCACGCAAATGAGCACTCCACTGTAAAGCGAAACATGTATTGATAAAATAGTCTGAAGTGTGAATATTTTAAAAGATAATTCCCAAACTTACTTCACTCTCGCCCAATAAATCGATCAAAATGATGGTAGCAATTGTTGACATGGCAATCAAAATATTCATGCACAAAATGTACATATTGGCCAAGCTGGCATCGGTAAATAGCTTCTCGCACACATGAACCATTTGAATGCCAGCAAAACCAAATAGAGCGAGCAACAAAACAATGCCATACAAATTGTCTTTTGCTGTATAAGCCGGAATGTTGAAGATTTTGAAGACAATGACAGCTAAAATAAGGGCAATAAGGTATATTGCGAAATCCCATGCAAATGAAACGCCCCAATACGTTTTGAATGACACGCCGCACAATTTTTGCTGCAATTTCTCTCCGTTCAGTCTCTCATTTACGATATAGATCGATGCACCGGCAACCACCAAACTGAATGCCACCAGCAAAATAATCGAAATACCTGCGTCAGCCACTTGTTGAAGACTGAAAATAGTGAAAACATTTCATCAGTTGAAATTGTGATAATATTCTTAGAACAAATATTATCCTCTAGATAAATCGACTTACATTGAGGATTGACTGAGTTCCTTATCATCCAATTTCAGTGGATAGTTGTTGGTTGTGATTTTGAAGCCCGTGTCGTTCATCAGACTTCTGAAGTATGCCGTGTTCAGTTCATTCAAGAATACCGGCATTGAATGATAGCCATTGTTGTTATACCAAACGGCCGCTCGTGATCCATTTACCGACACTCCTCCGTAGCGGCTGGTCGGATACTCGTGTGTTGTGTTCAAAACCCACCGAAAAAGGTTTTCAGAAGATTCAAATGATCTACAAATATTGCCGAATTCATCGCCATTTGCTGCACAGTAAGTCGACAGTTCTTTGTATGTTTCATTTTGCCAAATGTCTCCATTTTCAATGCTATACACGTCGGTACTGTTTGAATAGAGCTTTCGCGAGAATTGCAAATCGATATCATGTTCGCCGGGTGGACGCAGTATCATGAAGCCCATGGCAATGATTTCAAACAGTGTTGGCAAGATCAACATGCACAAAATCAATCGATAGTTTCGCTTAAAATGCAAGAAACGCTTCTTCAGCAATCTTTTGATAACTTCGAACTCAGGCAGTTTTTCTTGTTGTACAATGGGGCTAACTTTATCCGTTTTCTTATTGACATCACTGCCGGCGTGAGTATGACCGTTCGATTCGGATTTCTTTGTAACTACTAGATCATTAAACACATTCTCCAAATTACTGCTTACAACGCGGAAACTCTTGATTTGCTGCTGTTTCGCCATTTCTTCGATGCTATTGATCAACGGTGAATAGTTCATCATTTGGCTGGATTCAGATCGATATGGGAGCTTGACCAAGAGCGACTCGGTTGAAATTGTGACCAGCTTCGATCCGGGAGCGTGCTCCTGAAGCAACGCATTAATGAATTCCGTTGCCTTTGAATTATCCACATTTTCAAAGTTCACATGAAGCTCGAATGTACGTGTGAATTGATCTTTTAACGAATCGGGATTGTATTCAGCGACACATTTACCCTATTTGAAAATAATAACAAAACATTGAATTAATTTTTTATTTCAAACCTCCACAATTGGGAGACATCAATCAATCTAAACTTTCGGAACAATCGATAGAATTCGAGAGTTTACTCACCTCATTCATGATTAAGATGCTATCGCTCAAATGTTCGGCCTCGTCCAAATAATGTGTGGCCAAAGCTACTGCTCGACCTTTGCGAAGAACTGAAATTAAATCCCATATATTTTTACGCGCTTTCATATCGACACCGCTGCACGGTTCGTCCAAAATCACCAGATTTGGTGAACCTGAAAAATTCGAATCATCAGTTTCCAAATATTTGGCAAATCGATTGGATATCCATTTATTAAACTTACAAATAAAAGCGATGGCCACGTTAAGTCGACGCTTAAAACCGCCAGACAGATGTTGCGAGTAGTAATTTTCGTGTTTACCGAACTGAAGATCTTTCATCACGCGATTCACTTCTCGTCTACCGTCATTTCCGTTCATTTTGATACTGACATACAGCTCCAAATGCTCTTTCGCCGTTAAATTCGGAATTAAAATATTGTTCTGTGGACATAGTCCAACGCGTTCGTCGAGATCGTGTGCCGTGATTCGATCGAAACTTTGTGGCCAGTACACGTGACCACTTGTCGGCGCAATTTGTCCAGTCAACAGTTTGATGATCGTACTTTTTCCAGCTCCATTACGGCCAAGTAAACATGTGATGAAATCTCGTCGAAAAACTATCGATACATTGTCAAGCGCCGTATTTTCACTACCTGCATACTTCTTAGTGCAATTTTGAATCGCCCCTCCGATACCCAAGTCCATGTCTTTTTTCTCAATTTCATGAAACTGGAACTCGTCGTTGGTGAAGCGCTCGTATAAGTAACCGATAACTGCATACAAAATGAGATCAACGCAAATCATCACAAGGCCAAATTTGAATTCATTCGATTCAAATGATTCATCGAATGCATTGGCAAACGTTAGCGGGCGTTGTTGCAGTTCCAATCGCATAATATACCGCCAAGCATAACAAAAAGCAGTCGCAAATGACAAACTCTGGCGTTGGAAATGAAAAATAAGAATGAATCAATTGAAATTGAAAGAAGAATGATGACTTCAAAATTGTCGCAAAGACACTTACAGCAAGAAATTGGTAGCACATGCTCAGAATTGCACCGAGAGATATGATCAGAATATAAGGCATGTATGTCATTAGGAATAATATCACAGTCGAGACCGATCCAATGCTAGCCGATGTGAAGAACGTCGACACCATGTAGCTAAAAATACAACAAATGAAATTTTCTCATTGAAAAAAAATATTTATCAAACATATCGAACGGAAAATATGCATAAGGCACGCGAATTAATTTTCGTCAATCTATAATTTACCAGAAAGAAATGACACAACCGCCAAAAAGCAATAAGAATAGATACAAAAGGGCTCTGCTAGTCGTTTGCATTGCTCCGCCGCTGAATAGAATAATTTCGCATATCAAGAATGTGATCGCAAAATCAATGAACGTGGAAACAATCCATGCAATGTTCTCGGATGATTTTTTCAAGCCCATTATTCTCATTAACTGCAATTAGAATAAAATACGTTATGGTGATTTGTTTCAAACTAACTCGCAACTTAATTAAGTTGATTACTTACCGTGCTATTTCCGCTCTCTCTCATCCAAATGCGATTACGGACTGCATTCGAAACTTGCACAATAAGCGCAAAGAAGAACAGCAATTGAATGCATTGCGCCAAATACAGACCGGTGAGGAAATTATCACGACGATATTTTGGATACGGAAATTGTTTTGTGTAAGTGTGCATATCGCCATAATTGATGCCACCTTCGAATTTCGGCTTTTCTTCGGCCGTTGAACCGCCGAGAATGCTGCTGAAAATGTCGAGCTGACGCTTTTTGCGAACTAGTTTTTCTTCGGCGGCTGGTGTTTCTGTTGCTGGTGTCGTTGTTTCTACCGATGCGCCTGATGCGTCGGTTTGTGTTTCTTCTTCAGTTATTATTCCATTTAAAGTCTTTGGAGCATCACTGTTCTGCACGATTTCATTTGGAGCATCTGTAGTTTGCGCTTCCTCAGTCTCATTTTTCTCGGTGGATATGGTTGTATTTTCATTTTCTACCGTATCATTTGAGTTTGAATGGGATTCACTGCTTTTGTTTTCCGAGTCCGAATCACTCTCGAAAGAATCGTCCGTTGTAGATGCTTCGGTCGTCGTTGTAGTTGTACTTGTTTGCAACCAATTCTGTTCACGTATTTCATTTTCTGCTTCCACCACCGTTTTTATTATCGCCTGATCGATTATGTGCTGGATTTGAATGAAACCTCTGTGGTATCTCATTTCTAATTCAAAGTTGCCATTTGGCCCGGGGAACCAGAATCGATTACGATTTTCCAACGTGATTGGTGTATTGTCAACGTCCATTCGAAGCTTGTATGCAAATTCCTTGTCTTTGTCATATCCATCATTGCCAAAGAAAATACCAGCGTAGAATAGTTTCTTGTCGTTTAATTTTATCGCCATGTCTTCCATTTCTTTCTCCGAATCAACTCCAACGAATCGATCGACAGAGAAACACTCGAATATATTCGCTACCGTTTCAATGATATCGGACACTTGCTTATCGTGAAGTAGTCCATTGAAAACTGTGTCCAGAATTTTTGGGTCAACATTGAAATTGGCCAACAATAATTGGACAAATGGTGATTTTGCCAACTGAACGATGTTCATGAACTTTCGCTGGAATTGACCCTCAACTCGCAATTGTTTTATAATCAAATCAAGCCCTTTTACCAGGTCTTTCAAGCGATTCATTGCCAAAAAAGTGTCGTTTGCCTGTATAGGAATGGATGTATTTACCATTAGAATAATTCTTATTTTTGAAAACAATATGTGAAACTGTTGAATGTACTCACATTTTGTACGAGTTTATCGGTTTGTGAATTGGCTGGTCCGTACAAAAACTTGCCTTGGATAATTGGTTTGATGTAATTCCACGTAATTTTTCCATTGTTCGTATTCGTGACATCCAAGTACAACTGCTTACAATATTGCGCTATGAAATAAAACAGTCGTCATCAATAAAGGCCAGTCAAAAATGTTAATAATAATTGATTTTAGACATGTGCTCACTTGGCATGACATCCAACTCCTCTTTGTTAGCGCCGTTAAAGTCTTGTTGGTAAAAAAGTCTATCGACAAACCGAATATTATTGCTACGTGGAAATGGTTTGCCGCAGAAAAGGAAGCCCGATTTCGCGAAAGTCATATCGTCCGACCACAATTGATGAATATCAAAACTGCTATCGATTGGCGAGCCATTCAAACCTAGAGACGCCGTGAGTTTCGAAACATTGTCTTCAAGGACTTTGAAACTAGGATGCGTTGCAATGGTCGTGATTGAACCAAGGAAATTTCCGCTGGTCGGCAGATCAACGATCGCATGGTACAGTTTATCTTCATTTAGGAACGCTTGAACTATATTCACTATTGGAGTGATAGGTGCATTGTCAAACTCGGAAATTTCCGAATAATTTTTCGTGCTGGAACATTCATTTTCAATGGAACAAATGTAGGACTGGAAAAAGGGCAAGATGCTCTTTGGTGCGGGCAGTTCTCGTGTAGGAAATTGGCATTCATCAACGTCATAAGCGCTGAATTTCAGCCGAAGCATGTAAATGGTTAGAAATATCAGGCAAGGCCAGAGGAACTGAACTGCGGTTAGCCACTGGAAATAAAAGTTCAAATAGATTTTAATAACTTCACCGAACAAAATGAAATTGAATAAATTACCGGTTGCCGTTTTTTGATGAGCACATCTTTCCAAAGCAGCGCCTTGATTTGAGGTGTGTTGACCCATTTGTCGAATTGCGACCTGGTTCCCATTTTTATTGTGTCGAATTCGTTTTTCTAAGTATTGCTATAAATTTTACGACGTCAAATTGTTTATCGAAATTGTGCACTGCTTTCAATCAGCATATTTTTTGTTTATGTTTTGTTGGCGGTGTCTTTCCTGAGTCTGATTCCTATCTGTGAATATATTTAAATTCATTAGAACACGTGCATGGTACATCGATAATATGCATTATTTAACAAAACAACGCATTCATTTGCTCAGTTTTCTTCGTTTTATCGGTTGCGAAAATCGATTTTCAGCGCATGCTTTAGCTATTCTTATGATGCAGTAGAAAATAACGGTTCACTAATAGATAAGATCACATTCGGGGATTCTTCGAATCCGATCCTATATGCACGGGTTATGGGCGAAACTCAATGAATCATGTTTACACGAGAATAAAAAATTAATTCATCGTTAAATTCCATCTTGATTGTTTATAAAATCATCGGCGACGAAATTGGTGGGAAAATGATGATTCGTGATAGGCGAGAAACCTCGCGATAAATTTAATGAATCACTTTCAATGAGTACCTTTGCATTAATGAATAGCATTTAAAATTACTTCATTCCTCCCAAATGATAATCATTTTAATTAATTGCAATTTCGAAAATAAATCTATGGCGAAAAAAAGTTGATTCGATAAATTAGAAGCCGGTTGGAAAAGGTTTCAAAAACCCTGGTATATAAACAATAATTTACTGGCGTTTTTTGCACAACGCGGAATTAAAGTGAATGTCATCAGGTAGACTAAATAGAATCCATTATTAGCATCTTACCTAATCTTGGATCCATTAGACTAGAACTTCAAATTCTTAATTTCATTTTCCTATATATTTCTCGTTTATCCAATTTATTATCATACGCTCTTTGGCATTTTGTCTGTTGGTTTCACTGATTCTCTTCTAAGCTCAAACACTGTTTTCTTTAACTCGCTTGGAATAATACTGAATACACGAACTGGCTAACCAGAAAAAAATGAGTTGTCATTTTGAAATGAATGTTATTTTTTATGACCTTGTTTGTTGCTTTGATTTTTTTTCCAAAACATTAAAGAAATAAATATCACAGTGTGTAGTTTATTCAGTGTTTATTGAAACTGTTTCACTAGTGGGCAAATTGTTAGGTTTTTTTTTATCTGGTTCAAAGTTCTCGGTAAGTTCCCATGTAAACACTTAAGAGTGAGAAAAAGAGAGGAAAAAAACGTGATGATGAAGAGATGCAACGTCGGTTCTTGATCAATATCATTATAGTTATTTTTTTCATTCGCAATTCAAGTATGATGAGCAAATATGGTAAAGATTCTAGATAAAAATAAACGCATTTGGAATCGTTTCTATATATTTAGGTATATATACACGTAATGATAAGTTGATGAGATTATGAGCTCGTCATTGTGAGTGATAAGCAATCGCGAATGATTTTATGGTGGCAAATGAAATTTTTGGTATCTGTTTCGTGTGTTGAGCTGTTAAACGGAAAAAATAGAATTCTAAATTTATTTTACATTTCTGTGTTTTGCGAGAATTTTCTGAACATTTAATCAAACAGGTTTAAATTTACATATTGTTTTTGACTAAAATACATCTGCGGTTCGTGTGATAGAACCCATTTGCCGTGACAACACTTTCTTTATACGTATTAGTACAATGCATGACACTTCGAGAACCAGCCAGTCAGCAAAAATAAATAATAAATATGCAAATTACCAGAATTCATCTTTTTTTCTGAAACGATCGAACTCCGTTCATGCTTGAAGAATTTCACAAGAAATTCATTCTTTTTTTCATCAAACTGAAAAGCATCCGCGACGGTTTATTCAATTGAAAACGAGATTTTTTTCAATAACTCCGATGCTGTCAAGTGGGTCCAAAGACTTGTATTTTTATATGTTAAATTTCAATGTTTCGAATTGTTCACGTAACATGATTATCTTTAATTTACATAAAATATTTTTGTCATATGGCTAATGAAGGCAAAACAATGAAAAAACACATTTTTGAAACTTTTTTTCAAACATTGAAAGATTTTGCCAAAAATTGCTCAACGCAAATTCTCTTTTGTGATAGTTAATTATTATTGTGCAATTGCGCAGATAGAAAACACACAATTAACAGTGTGCGCGAATGCCATCGCCCATTAACACTTCTGTGCTTTTTTAATTGTTTATCCGTGACTCAATAAACATTTATAGTACAGTGTGATGACTGTCGGCAAATCTGATTAGCACTCCAAAACAAAAATAACCCCGAACTGAAACCCAATTCAATTTATTTTCCAACGATTTAAAACTATCCAAATAATTTTGTCACATACTTTGGAAGAAATCGATTCGAATTTTTTCAGAAAAATGGGTCGGTTAGCGGTAAGCGTCCATAAGCACGGTATTTTTATGTGAGTAAATAAAATCTGTTTAAAAATAAAACAAAAAACATGACATCGGAATATTACGAAATGAAATTAGAATGAAAGTGACACAAAAAGTTATTAAAAACAAAAGTAGAAGTTTCATGGAGTTGCCGTTTTGCTGTGAAGTAGTTTTCATTTTCTAGGAATTGAATATTCGTTTTGTCAGCATATTTTAAGCACCGTCTTGACCGTTGTGCTCGGAATGAGTTTTTTCTTCTTTCATTCAAGTTTATTTGAAGCAAAATAAATATTGGTGAAGCGATTGACGCGTTTTGTTTGAAGTTTGCTATGAGATTATTTGTCAAATTACGGGTAGAAAGGCCGTGATCACCGAAAGCGACAAAGATTTCTTTTATATTATTGGAATGTAAATAACCACGACAGGCGAATGGGTCTTATTGTGATTGAATTTTGACGAGCGCATACTTTCGAGTCATAAATCGTTCAAGTATTTTGTATGTGTTAAAATGAACTTAATCGAAAATTGTTTGAATGGCAGGCGATTTCATTGGTTTCGATCGATTGTTTGCGTCGTCGTTGTCGTCAAAGTGTTAACGAAACGGCAGTGAATGTGAATGACAACAAACAAAAACCATCGGATCGTGGTTCCGAGTGCATTTTGATACGCATTTGGAATTGCAGTCTCACTTCGAAGGAGGTGAAACGAAATAAAAAAAACGAAGCTGTTGTGAACAAACAAACGGTAAACTGTTTGCCGTGCTGAAGTGAGTGTGTATGTCAGTTTTGCACATTTTTAATACAAGTATACATAAGTGAAACTGAAACGCTGCCAGCTTACGATCGCCGAATATCAAGTACACCGTTTCATACAGGTAGAAACTGAGCATGGAATTGAGGTTAACGTTGTCATTGCTGCTTCTGCTGGCATTTATTTGTCTTACTCTCGCTCATACGTCGTTGTGTAATTGAACGCTGCAGATATCGATCGTTTGAATATGTTGTGACCGTTCAGCGCAATTTTACGTACCGTCAATTGAAACTTTCCGTTTGAGCCGCATGAACAACTGATCGGATCTCGTACGATTTACAATCCGTCAAGTATATCAAATGTTGTGGCATTTCGAAATCTTCCAAAACAAAATACACACCTATATGATCCATTGCATTTCTAGTTTAGTTTTTTTTTGTTCTGTACCGTCAACCAGTTGGCAATGGATTATTCAAATCGATCGTTTGTTTGTTCCATTCTCGAACGACGAATTAAGAGAATCATGCCAAGTAAATTCTGACTGAAATTGAGCAGTTGGCGATCGTCACACACATTAATTTTCGAAATTCCATTTAAAATGTGAAATGCCAAGCACATTCATCAGATTTAACCGTGATGAGCATCAACATTCCATTCCATAGTCCGCGCCTGGGCTGTGCTCCGCGTTGTGCTGCTGTTCGAACGAAAGATCGACCGAATTGCCGCACTTATCTACCCGTAAATCGTGCTCAAAACTCTGTTACACACGCAAGCACCAAACAACGGAGAGCGGGCTCGTTTTGAAATGCTTCTACTTGCCTCGAATGGGTGCGATTTCAATTTCATTAAAAGTTCATGAGAGAGTTGTTGCCGTGCCGATTCCTAGTTCGCATTCTCGATGTATGCGCTTTTTTGTCAATTGATGGTTTTTTATGATAGGAATAAAAAATAAATAAAAATAATGAGGAAAAAATCGTTATTTGCAATCCGGACCTCCCATGATCGCTACTATCATTGCCAGATTGCGAATTCGGAATACAGCTTCGGTTTATTTATAGCAATCCGTTTTAATTACTCCATCTTCCACGAATACAAAGAGACGCACTGTTTGCATTTCAACGCGGACGATTCATTCGATGCACGGCCATTCACTGATAAATTGCGATGCTTTTCAATTCACTAATCCCATGGAATTATACGATTTCATTCGATAGATCGACGAACAAACAAACACACATGACAATTACTGTGGTCGACAACAGAGGTTTTTTTTTAACAAAAAATTTAAACAGATACCCATTATTGTTGTTCACAAAGTAGCATCCATAGAAATGATGCTAAACAAAAATTTAACAAAAAGGGAAAAAAAGAGCCGGTTCGCGAATGAGTGGAAGCTTAAAAGCGGATAGTTTTCCATGGATATGTCGATCTGAATGAGCGTGTGTATGATGCATCCGTAATTATTTATTATTATTTGAAAACAGTATGAATATGATCTAGTTTATTAGTTTCTCTCTTTCTCATCAATTTCATTCATTTTGTTTCGTTCATTGTTCCGAGTCATGGTACGTTTACGTTTGATTTTTCTAGCTATAGATTATCACAAAAAAAGTGTTTTGCGATACGCGTTCTAGCACAGTAGCAGCAGCAGCGACTGGAACTCATTAATTTTGCGCTTAAAAAAAACATTTGAACGGTTAGCCAAGAATTTGCTTGCTTCAAAAATTGCAATCGGAATTAACACATAGAAGGTTTTTCCTCATTTGGAACTTTCGAAAATGTTTTGAGTTTACGAAATGTACGTCAGTCAGTTGTACGCTCAAGCGTAGCCATCGCTCAAAATGCACACCTTTCAGCAAAGGTGAATTGGCTGTTTTATGCACTGCCCGTATAAAACTGTTGACACGGAGGTAACGAGAAAAAAAAAAATAATAACATTGGTCTTTGCGTAACCAAAAGTCTCTGAACTGAAAATGGTGATCATTCATCGAAGTGTTTGACATGTGATTGTAGTAAGCCGTGAGTTTTGGATAGGCAAAGAAAACTCGATTGAAGAGAATGCCTATTCCCAATGCTCGGCTCATCAGTACAAAGTATTTTTCTTGATTAAAAATTTAAACAAACTGCTCTGGGCATTAACAAAACCATTCATTCATTAGCAAATTGAAATAAAATGCACGATCTATCACTACGGTTTATTTTTCACTTTTTTTTTGTTCGTTGTTTTTCGTTAACGCACGCAGATGCTCGTTCAATATCTTTACAGCTACCGATTTTCCCTCGCAAATTCGCACAATAAATGCCAATCAACAGACAAAATAAACCCCGAAAAAAAATATTTGTGCAAATGAAAACCAAATTAAAAAGAAAATCGGTCAGTCATTCGTTGCGGTAATTAATCAGGAACTTCAGAAATCATAACAAAAACAATTCACTCGCTTTCGACGTACTGCTTTGTGTAACAGTGTTCACTTGGTGTTTTCTTTTTCGCATACAATATTTTAAATTCACTTGTATCAGGCGATTCAATCAGAACGCAATTTGAAGTTTGTCAATTAGTAGTTTTTTTTTATAGCTAGAACTCGTTCGCATTCAAATTTTGATTGAAATCAATTAACAAGCTCGTTAGACAAAAGCCCAAAGAACATTGACTTGATCTTGATCACACGATTTCACTGCAGAAAAAAAACTGAGCCGCGTGAATACGTTTTTGAGAATTTCTTCGTATCTTTTTTTTTACATTCTCGTCTCACACTCACTTTAGTTTGACACCAAAAATTGGTCGTTTCGTTGCAAGCCCAATAGTTGTTGAATTTTATTTCGATTGGCTCGTTTCGAAAATGTCGTTGTTGATTGTTCGAGTTTAATTTTAAATTTCTCTTCATCCAATTAAAACGCAACAGCAGCAGCAGCACGTTTATCGATAGTGATACCAGTCAATATATATAATAGGAGAAACAAAGTACGGTCGGAAAGATACTAAAAAGCGTGTGTTCGCAATCAACCACACCAGTAAACTGATCGCAACTCAATCGACTTTGCTGAGAGAAAACCAAACTCGACTCGCACGCTGTTTATTTTTGAACGTGGCTTTTTTTACAATGTAATTCGCATACTATCTTTCTCTGTCTTTTCTCTGGCGTGTATGCGCGCGCCTCTTACAACCGCACGGTCGGTCGGCTTTCAATGTTTTAGTGTTGTGTGTACAACCAAACGAAAACGAACGTCATACCAGTTGTTTTGCTGTTTTATATTATTGTTGTTGTTGTTACTGCTGTCGCTGCTGCTGTGCCGTGTCTTCTTTCGGCAAACGTGAATCGAACAAGTAACAGAATTGTTATTGTTGTTGCTGCTGCTGCTGCTCTTGCTGCTGCTGCTTCGTTTTGTGTGTTTTGAAATGAATGAATGTGATCTAGTGACGTTGAACCGGTTGGTCGGCCGATCATGTTACATTTCGCTCTAACATATCGTTGAACGACGCGAATCGATCGCAGTGATGATGAAAATGAATATATTGGATCCAATAAAGCGCACCCGATGAATAAAACCGATTTTCATTCGAAAATTTTGCAAATACCTCTACCGTATTATGCCGACTGATGATAATGTTTAAAGTAAACGAACGAAATGAAAGAAAAGAAAAAGAACAAACCGATTATTAGTACATATTTGTAATGATTAATCAGCAATTTATTAATTGAACACCACTTTGAACCAGACATTCATCATTGGACTTTTTTTTATAGCTATCAAGCTGAATTGATCGAGATCTCAAACGTAAAATTAGTCGAAATTGATTCGATTGTAATTTGTATTCAATTATTCAACTAAAGTAATGATACTCCATGATAATCAATTTTGGTTTTTGCTCAGAATGATAAACGTTCTATTTCCGCAATGAGATTAAGAATCGAAATTGTGAACATTTTTTTTTAATCTGCGATAGAAGAATCATTGTTTGATTTATAGGAAAACATGATGGAGACAGGATTTCAGTGCGAAACTCTTTGCATTGAATTGAAAGCGGTCTAAATTGTTGAACTATTTCAGTTTCATTCACAATTTCTTAACGACTCTTCTTTAATACTGTAGTCATTGTGCTGGGGATCATTTTGTAATTTCTTCATTGGCCAGTCCGACTGGTATTTCATTGTTTTGCTATTGCATCATGGGCCAACGACAAAAATATTTAGTTTTGAGCAACGTATCAGATACAGAAAAAAAGTCATTTATAATGTTCGCGGAGACTGAATATGATGCGCGCTTTTCGACTGAAAATGGTTTCTGTCTATTTTCTCATTTCCACCAACACATACAACGATGCCAATTAAAAAGGTGTTCTAGTTTTATCATAAAATTGTGTCAGCTGTGAGAAAACACGAATATTTCTACGCGCTAGTTCTGTATGTATGTGTGTACGAAAACTGAATCAGTATTCAGAATCATTTGAAGATGATTCATCGAACGACGAAGTCAAATGAAAATAGTCTTGTTATTATAGAATATGTACGAGTCGTACAGTACGACAGAAAAACATAACCAACTCAATGCATTGTGTGTTAAAAATGTCGGAGATGTTACTGTTCTACAGTTCAGGCGTGTTATCGAATACTTTGGCTTACATGTCGTGTCTAGCGACCACCACAATGATTCGAATATGATGTTGATACAATTCATGCAAATCAAAAACTGAATAATTACCGATATGCTTGAATTGAATCTAATTCTTTATGGCAATGGCGATATTCTTATCACATTTCTCTTGTCGTTCTAGAGATAGGTTCAATCGTCGAGTCTATATGCATCGCACTGAATACTAAGTGGGAGAGCTAGGAAATTACGCATGGAAAATATCAACTGCGAATATTCTACACTCAATAAAAACGTGTGCAGAATTTTGAAAGCGTACGCAACGATTATTGCTTTTAAAATTCTGTTTATCATTTCATTAGTTGCAAGTTGTGCTGCTTTGACGTCTTTCTTTATATTTTTGAACACAACCACGTCAGTTGTTTTCTACATTTATTATTATTTTAAATGATTTTTCGGATGAAAAAAACAAAACAATAAATACCTTTTCGCATGTTTTGGAGGTGTATTGCACACGCGCCGCATTCAACCAGAATCGATTGATTACGGCCTGGTGGATCGATATAAGTGGCATTTTATTGGGACTTATAATTTCATAGGCTATATGCTAAATATGACAACGATTAGTTGAAACACTCGATTCGTGCAAATGCTAAAAAATCATTTTTGTTTATTCTAGAAATGTGTGATTTTCCTTTCCTGCCAAACGAGACGGAAGTTAACGGAAAATTTATCAGGTGGAAAGTCAGAATGTCATAATGACATCGAAACTTGTTGTTTTGCGTGCTGTTGTTATCAAAGCAGCAATTAAAAGTTGAAAGCATTGAAATCCATTAGTTGATTCCATGGCGATATAAATCTTCGGGTGCGGCCTGCATGACCATCCACCACACTGTGATTATAATTGGCCGGTAGCAAAATAAAATGATGATCATGCCGAAAAAGAGAGAGAGAGAAGAAAAATGTCAACCGATGTCTGGCATTCACTTGTGGTCAATCGTCGATAAACACTTTGTACTCGACGCATGAAAATTTGCTTATTGAAAATCATCGGGCAAAGAAAAAACTGCAAAAAACAACAACAACATCAACAAAAACCTATAGCGTTCAACATTGGGCGGAAATAAGTTATTACATCTCTAATAGCCATATTAACGAAAAACGTTGGTTGATTTTAGCTACAATAGCAGCGACTGGTTAATGATCCACTATCAGTTCATGCCGATATTTGGTTACACCGTTGCCCTTTGTTGTTCTGTTGAATTGACGAAAAAATGCTTCTTTTCCCCATATGATTTTGAGGTGATTGTATGATATGAACGTTTTTGCTAACTTGGGAAGCGAAACCAATGTCTTTGTAAATTATTGACATTGTCAGCTATCATTGTAGTAGCAAATAAATATTAGTTAAAGTTAAAATCACGAGTTTTTTTTTCAGTTAAAGTGCGATCAAAATTGACGTGCCGTAAATATGTGATCGCATTTTTTGGTTTACCGTCGGTTTTTTGTAGACTTCTTGAATTGAGTCTTAATTACCATTCATTTGTTTGAATTCACAGGTACAAACATGTATTTTAAAGCTAAATGCAACTGTATCCTGCTGCTGTGCATATTCTGCGATATTTGTATAAGCAAATTTGTTTTTCAAAGAACGCAAAATCGTCTTCAACGCATCCGTGTATCGTCTACGACAGTAGATGCTTAGTCAAAACCAACACGTAAAATTTTTATTGTGTTATTTGTGTATGGTTGAATTTTTGTGTGTTTACATTTTTGAGACGTGTTTTTGTTTCAACTCCTATTTACACCGTTCGTCTCTAGAATGATTCAAGCGATTATAAACGAGATAATGAACTGGCTTGCAGTTAATGAAACTGAAAATGCCCTCAACGGATTCCTGCTATTCACCACATTCGTACCCATCATTCGAGATCTTTAAACTCTTTTTCGTTGTGTTTGACCTTGATTGAGGAGCAACCAAAGCAAAGTTGCAGGCAAGTAAGTTTCATTGTTGTTTGAACGTAATGCGTAGGAATGGAAACTCGTTCATAAAAATAAAACGTACGTCATCAGTTCAATCGGTCCATTTTCTAATGAGCCGCATAAAATAAATGAATAAAAACTGGTTCTGTTTTTATCTGCTCGCAAATTATAAATATAATATAATTATTTTACAACAAAAAATAATCCGCCCGTCCTGATGTTGAGATATATGCTAATTATCATTGTGGTACAGCCACAGCGTCACGTATTTAGTGATGTTTAGTCATAGGAAAGTCCACATGCTCATCGTGCACACAATAATTAGTAGTTTTCAGTTGCTTTGTTTACATTCTTCGTTTATGCTCACCAGCTCACCAAACACACACTTCGAATCTGCTCATCTGCTCAATCTGCTCACGATGCATGTCGCTAACTAATGCGTACCAAAAACATGACGTTTCAACGGTCGTGAGAGCGAACAAAGAGAAATACAGAGAGAAACATGAATCAGCTGTATTTTGACAGTTCAGTCAGTAATGCAAGCGTAACCAAACAATAAACACGTTTAGAGAGCAATTTCACTTTATTCGCAGACAAATTGAAGAAGAAAAAACATTTTAATTATTTTCAGTGTTCGAAATATTTCATTTTTTTTCTTTGTATTTTGGTGTTGAATAATTTCTTTAATTTTTTATCAATCGATTTGTGGTGAATATTTGAAGAACAAAGAAAATGGCAAACGGTTTGTCAATTGATAATTGTTTGATTCAAGTTCGTTCTCGGTTACAAGAAGAAGGCATCAAATTATGGCTTGAACCATACCACGTTGAAGGAATTGGGTCGAATGATACAGAGTTGGAGGTAACTTTCAAATGAAAAGATAATAAACGGAATTCTGTACATTTTTTCGTGGAAAAGTTTTGATTTCATCATCAGAAATTTTATGACGCAATTTTTATCATCTTCTTTTTTGTTATGGTTTAGAGCTTGGCATCACGATTGGCATCAACAGTGAATATTCCATACAACTACTGCTTGTCAGCCATCAATGAACTGCAGGCGAACGCCATCGATAAACTCAAAGCACGAGATCTTTTCAACGAAACAGGTAAAATTGACTATATTGTGAGATATCTCCTAATATTCTGTCACGACTGTATTGTTTACCCTTTCGATGAATGTTCTAGGTGTTGCCACAATAAAGGTTCGCGTTCCGGATAAAAACACTGGTGGCCGTTTGATCACCGTGCAACTGAAGCTGGATCTTATGGTAGAAGATTTGTATACGGACATTGCTGGGAAACTGGAACTTAGTCCCAATAAGTAATTCACATCAAACTCTTTCTTTCATCAACTTTTGCGTTATTCGAAAATTGCTTCTGTTTCAAGGTTAAAGCTTATCAGCGCTGGTAAAATGTTGAATCGCTCTCAAACGCTTCAAGACCAAGGTATTCAGAATAATCAGCAAATTATGGCCATCATCCTGGAAATGGATGAAAAAGAAGCTCACAAGGAAAATGGCGCCTTTGATAAACTGCAAGAAGCGAAAACAGATGCATCGAAATTGTTGCAAAAGAATGATTCATACATGGATGTAAGTTGATTGTTTCGGGGGAAAAATTTCGTTGAGAAAAAAATTAATTTTAATTTAAATTTTAAATGCTTAAAATTGAAGCAGTTCATTATTCACAGTTTTATTATTGAAAAAGATTTTATTCCGAACCTTACACAACAAAGGCTCGATTATAATTGCCAAAATTCCAATTTCGTCCATACAGATAGAGGACCAAGACGGCAATGTAATTCACATCCCACCCGAGGAGAAGAAGGCGATAATGATGGCCTTGGCGATACACGAAAAAGGTCGTGCCGCTCTACGCCGAAATGCTTACAATGACGCGCTCATTTTTCTGTTGGAAGCTGATAACGAATATCGCATATGCAACTCTCAATTGCTGGAAACCGTTGATAATTATGCACTGTTGAACCTCGATATCGTCTGGTGCTACATCATGCTCAAAGTATTTCATCTTTTTTCCTCACATGAATCTGGTGATTCTCTAAAAATATTCATTCTATTTTTGTGCCGCAGAGTATCAGTCATTTGCCCGATGCTGAATATCGCTTGCAGATTTGCGAGAGACACTTCAAAAAAAGCTACGGTGAAAATTTGAATCGAGTGATGACGTTGAAAGGCAATGCTGCCAACGAAAGGGCTCTCATAATGCGCATGCATTTGTTGCAAGCTATTTTGAATTTTCATAAGAATCAACGAAATTTTGCACTTGAACTTCTTTCGACTGCAGACCTCGAGTGGCAACAGCTACAAGTGAATGAAGGACTGGTCGACTCTTTGGTGGAAATGGGTATTTTTTTTAAAGATTTGGACTGTCTGTTTTAACGAATATAGATAAATTCAATCAATATTTATTCAAGGTTTCACAAAGACCGAAGCACGCACAGGCCTACGAGCATGCGCCAACAATATCAGCGAAGCAATTGCTTTCGTACACGATCGACGCGAAAAGTTGGAAAAAGCAAGAAAATTGGGCCGAGAACAACGTCGAGCCAAGAATTCATTGGTCAAAACACAAAACAAGAAATGGGTCAATCCACGCACATTGCATGTTCTAAGCGAAATGGGTTTCGATAAGGATTTGTGCGCTCTAGCACTGCAGAAAACGGACAATGATATCAATCAATCGGTGAGAATCATGGGATTAATTTTTTTAAACGATCTTTATATTGACATGAGAATGATTTCAGATTGCTTTGTTGCAAGAAAACCAATCGATACTGCACGACGAGCTGTTACAAAGTGTCAAACCGGACGAAAGTTTGTGCGAACAAATTCGCAATATGGGCTTCGACATTGAGATGATCAGGCAAGCATTGAAGGATACGACAAATGACATGTCAAAGGCCATCGAAAATCTTCTCCAAATGCAAGCTAATGGAACATACCAAGACGCACTCAAAGAAGTTCTGAAATCTGTACCACCAGCGTTAGGGGAGGCATTAAATCAAGCAACAACATCGGCGGCACAGACTGCTCAAGATTATGAAGGTGAAATGAAGGTCAGTTGGATTTTGATATTCGAATTATTCACATTGACTAACATCGAGATTATCTTTTTTAGGCTTACGAACGGTTCGCCGAAGATATGGATTTAGAAGATAATGCATATTTGGATCTGCCACTTAACGAAGAACGTGTTTTGCTTGACGAGTATAAAAAGATGCTTGATATGTGAAAATATCTGTTTACAAACAACAATGATAGTGCTGATGCTGATACTTTTGTACGAAATTATAAAATAAAGAAAGAGAACCGGAAGGAGGACATGAGTTCTAAGATATTGAAATAAACTCCTGTCCAAAGTAAAAATAAAACATAATATTGTGTGATTTTATGATTTTATTCCTAATCAAGTATCTTCGTCTCTATCTATTGTCTGCACTTATAAAATGTGTTTGATAGCAACATGTTATAAAGTAATACGAGTCTACTTATTTTCTCGTTTTTTCGATATTTTTGCATCGACGCAACGACACACTTGGCAAACACAATAAACACTTTAGATCTTTATCTTATAATTGTAATCATATTATTACGCATTCACTTTTATTGGTGCATGAATCGTGTTTTACAAAAAAGACACACTGGCTCCCGACCGACCCTTCGTGACCCTGACATTCATTCGCGACGAACGCAAAAACTGTATTTCGATCAGTGGACAAAAAGCAAGAGCATGGGGCTGGCATACTAATACGACGCGGAATGAAATCCGATCATTTCAACATCTTTTCTAAATGGGTTTATGAAAAATATGGTGATGAACGTTCTCATTTATTCCTGTGGTGGATTTAAGTGCCCGTTTTATAAGCATTTCGATAAGATTCGGAATTTATTATCCCAAAATTGTTTTATGTTGTTTATTACTCTGTCATAAGCTTGAACTAATGGGCCTAAATTCACAAATACTGCTTAGGATAAGTGAATATCTGCGTGATCGAAAACAACTCGTGAAACTCGATTCAAACACCATATCTAAGCCAATAAATGTATCGTCAGGAGTAGGGCAGGGATACCCAATCGAAGCTACACTGTTTATCCTCTTTATGTATGAGCAAACTGTGCTTCTGACCGGCGCAAGATAGCGGTGGCGCCTATTCGCAATTTGCGGAATTTTTAAGAACTATCAATACTTGTTGTTGTTGTCATGAATTTCGCAACAACAAGAAGTATTGATAGTTCATTAAGTTGCCGCAGATCCTATTTAGGCGCTACCGCTATTCACTGTCACGTCAAATACATTGGTTCTTATGGGAGAGAAGCACAGGTTGTGTATGAGTTACCATTTTACCTTGAATCATCAAATCTACATTTGTTCGCTGATGATGGCGAAATTTCCAAACCAGTCAAGTCAATACAACAATGTGAATGCCTACAAAAGGACTTGAACTCAGCGATTCGTTTCTTCAAGATAAATCAGTTGAAACTAAATATCGGCAAAACCAAAGGAATAACATTCTACAGAGGATACAATCAAATCCAATATGAATACACCCAAAATGGCATTACCATCGACCGAACATCTGAAATCAAAGACCTAGGAGTGATTTTAGACTCCAAACTGTAATTTAAAAATCACATCGACTACATAATCAACAGGGCTAAATCACTTATAGCATGGATAAGGCGTTTCAAGGTACATGTCATCAGCACCGCCCGGGAATAGTGCTGGTAAACCATAACATGTAAAAAATAGAGCTCGAATAGTGCTGTCGATTGCAATTGGTCCCACGAATAGTGCTGTTCGGAGCGCTAGCACTATTCGTTTAAAGTTGAAAAATCGATTTTTGGGTACTTTTGTATGGGAGGTATGTGAAATATTGACTTTTTCCACACATATTATATGTCAAAAAATAGTACTGGAATAGTGCTGGCGAATGGAGTTTTCAGATTGTAAAAATGTTCACTGGTGGCCGAGCACTATTCGTCGAAAGTTGAAAAAAGTCGATTTTTGGGTACTTTTGTATGGGAGGTATGTGAAATTTTAATTTTTTCTACACAAATTAAACGTCAAAAAATAGTGCTGGAATAGGGCTGGCGAATGACGTTTTCAGATTGTAAAAATGTTGACTGGTGACCAAGCACTATGATATAATATACTACTTTCGACGAATACCAAATAACTAACAAAACATCACAAATAACTAAAATCATGAATCGACTTGAAAAAAAATTACAATTGATAGTTTTCTCTAGAAAATCAGTTTTCTCCAATTTTCCTCAAAGTTCTGTTCGCACCAGGATGCAGTGACGAGCAGAAATTCGAGTATACGTACACAGCAAAAAATAAAAGTCCACATCTAGCCGTTTTTTCAGCTAAAAACGCATTCAGCCGATATTGCTGCTAGTAATTTGAGCTGCAGGCGAAATTCCGCTTATAATCTAGTCGGTTTTTCGTCTGAAACTCAATTTACTAGGCAAAATATAAGACTGGGCGCCTCTACCAGTCGAAAATCCGCCTAAGTGTGGACTTTTATTTTTCACTGTGTACAGTATTGGTGCGTGAAACAGAAATGATGACTTTCTGGCACACTCACGCAATCAATGAGTCATACAATGAACGTTCAGAAATCTTGTGTAGTTTGTTTTTGGAAAATAGCTTAAGTTCTTTAACCGATTAAGATTTCCGAACGTTCAATGTATCAATTCTGGTTCATCGATTCGACTGACTCATTGCCTTCAAAATGGAGTCAGAATCTAACTCGTTTCTTACGACTCATGAAGAGTGAATCACATCAAGTTTGAATCACTTTGGACAAATGAATGACTCCGGTTATGACTCATATTGTGACTCCCTTCATGACTCAATTGTACTATACTGTTCCACTTTTCCGAACAGGAGTCATAGAGCCAGTAATCATACGAAAAAATCGATTTCGGACACTTGTCATGGAAATGTACCGAAAAATCGACTTTTTTCAACTTTCGACGAATAGTGCTCGGCCACCAGTCAACATTTTTACAATCTGAAAACTCCATTCGCCAGCACTATTCCAGCACTATTTTTTGACATATAATATGTGTGGAAAAAGTCAATATTTCACATACCTCCCATACAAAAGTACCGAAAAATCGACTTTTTTCAACTTTCGACGAATAGTGCTAGCGTCTCCGAACAGCACTATTCGTGGGACCAATTGCAATCGACAGCACTATTCGAGCACTATTTTTTACATGTTATGGTTTACCAGCACTATTTCCGGGCGGTGCTGATGACATGTACCTGGCGTTTCACAAAAGAATTCGACGATCCGTGGGTCATAAAAACGATATACTCAACATTCGTCATGCCTGTTATCGAACACGCGTCACAAATTTGGGCGCCCAAATATAAAAACGAAATTATGAGAATTGAATCACTACAAAAACAATTACAAACATCACTTATTACTTCAAAAAATGAACACATTGGAAGACAGAAGAATAATTCAACAAATTTTATTTATTCACTCATTAATCAACAATACGATTTCATCACCTAAATTGTTGAGTAATTTAAACCTTAAAGCACCTGTGAGAAGAACAATAACTATAACTCCATTGATTCATTGAACATTAGAAATGATCCTTTTAGTAGAATGAAATTGAAATATAATGAAAAATTTGATTTAATTGATTTCAATACAACCAAATACAATTTGAAAAAAATTCTCGGAGAACATTTTAAAATCCAAACCGATTAAAACTTGTAATCATATATTTATTTATTTATTTATTTAAAATAAAATTCATTCGAATAAACCACCTTGGGCAAGAAATGCTATTGGTGCAGAACACAACAACAACAACTACTAAACCCCCTGAATCATTAACCCTTTGTTACTTTATTGGTTGTCCAAGTGTTCAGATGCGGAAAGTGCTATAAAAATGAAACCGGTGCACAACGCACATCAAAATTGTTCAAAAAAAAAACATTTGCGCATTAAAGGGTTAACAATAACAAATGTTATTTTGTACAGTGTTTGAACAGCGTTTGTACAGCCGAAAGTTAAGAATGTATTAAGATAACAGTATGACCAGAAAATCTTTTTCCACTCATCAACACATTCCCTTATTGTTTATTTATTTTGATCCCTACAATATGCAATCTGCCATTGCATCCGATTTCATAATGTGTTGAATCAAATTTCTGCAACCATTCCTACTATACGACGAGAATCTTTGAACGAGTAGGAGTTTTTCTAGGTATTTAAACTTACCCATTTACAGTTTCTAGTCATATGATCGGCTGGCGCACATGAATCTTCATTTCTACTAAAATGCCATACATACAAATTCGTTATCTTTACCAGCAGTACCTATCTCATATGCTTTAACAATGTTTGACGTTTAGAACTGCTGCGGAAACTTTGTTGGGAGCGCCGCCAACCACAAATCTCTGTAACTATACGTACGTGTGAAAGTAAAGTCTTTGTGTGTACGTTCGTGTAAATGCGAAGAGTCTATGTGTGCATTGCACACAGAGATGTTGATTCGTGCAAACGTCGCATCCAACGTGGCATCATGTTAGGCGGCGCTATTGATATACTTTGCTTCAATCGTCAACAAAATACATGAAGTATTTCTCCGTTTTGATCTTTACTCTATGTCTATATACTGAACACAACAATTGTATAAATTGAAATATTAAATGTATTGCAGTGTCTTGGCGTATGTCGTGATCGATCAAATGTACAATTGATGTTGTTCAATTTAGTCTCTACAGCACAGCCTCCTCGAGTGGTTGGTGTATTCATTGATGATTAAGGCTGAGTCCAAATGCTCGGCTATAAAATTTTAAGCCGGCTAGAATTTTTTTTTTTCGTTTTTGTCGCATTTTTTCGGGGAATTTTTGGGTGGATGAAAAGAATTAGGACAAATAATGGAGACTTGGCCCAAAAATTGGAGTGATTTTATCGATTTTTTTGATTTTTTCGGAAAAAATTGATTAAAAATTGTTTTTTCTGAAATCGTTTTTTTCCGACTTTTCTTTATTTTTCTTGGAAAATTTCAATCGAATGGAACATATTAGGACCTAAAAAGAAGTTTTACATCAGAAATTTTCATTTTTTTTTTTTTCGATTTTTTGTATTTTTTTTGCAACATATTCAAAGGCCCATAACTTCTCAACTACACGAAACAGAGCAATAGTGTCTGAAGCAACTCAAGTCTTCATTATTCGTCCTAATTCATTTCATCCACCCAAAATTTCCCCGAAAAAAAAAGAAAAAAAAAATTCTGGCCAGCTATAAATTTTATAGGCGAGCATTTGGTGAGTCCAAATAAAGCCCAATAAAAATTTAAAACTCATAGCAAAATCACAAGTGGTACGGAGAAG